CTCTCTCTCAGTGCAGTGTTAATGTACTGGAGTGTCCAGTCAGGGTGTCTGTATTAACCCCCCTCTCTCTCAGTGCAGTGTTAATGTACTGGAGTGTCCAGTCAGTGTGTCTGTATTAACCCCTCTCTCTCAGTGCAGTGTTAATGGGCTGTAGCTGTAGTGCAGGGCGATTATGAAGGAAGTAGGAACACGCACAATCTGTATTGCGTGGCTGATTCTGAGGTGAATGAAGTTAAAAGGACGTGGCTGTTGATATGTATTCTTATGTGTCTTCATTACTGCGGTTCAGGCAAGCAGTAAAGTAAACTGCCTGGTTATGGATCCAAAGAAGTTGTGTGTTTAAGCAAAATCTTGCTCAGAGTTTCTAATACGTTTCTAAGATCTTAAGAACATTGTTCAGTTTTAGCCAAATTCCACAAAACGGGGTGAAAGGGTATCTGGTCACTTTCAGGAATTCCCAGCTTCAGGATTAGAAAGTGAAACAAGGATCATAACTATAAACTGAATGGGGATTAATGAATTTAAATGCCACTTAGCCTGTCCTGCTGTCCCGTCGGAGGGTGTCTGTGGTAACACTGTCTCTCCCTGTCTCCCGTCCCAGGCGGAAACGGCTCAGGATGCAAGCCCACGTCCTCCTCCCTCTGCCTGCCTGCCACCCTGGGCTTCTCCCCCGCTGAGCCAACCATGTCCAGCCAGCACAGCCACCCCACCTTCAGCAACATCCACTCCATGGCCGAGCAGCAACAGGTACGGCCCCCTCCTCCGGAACGACAGGGCGGCGCCTGTGCTCTGGGAACAGCACTGGGAGGCCGAAAATCACTTGCACGTTATTCCAGTCATTAACGGGGCTTATTCCCAAAGGGCTCTGCAAGGATCACTGCAGGAGGATATTGAGACTTGTGCTTGTGCTTTAAAGTAGTCCGAGTTACCTAGCCAGGAGAGTCCGGCTGTTTTACATAGTGAGAGCACGTGTGAGTGCTGTATGATCCGAATCTGATGGATTGGGTGTGCAGCAACGTGGGATCACAAAGATGTGTGGTGTGAGACAGGAGCTGATGTCTGGGCAGCTCCTCTCCCAGTCCTGTTTGAGACACTGAGAGCGGTGTGCCGAATGGGCTTTCCTCCACCTGAATGCCAGTGAATCCTGGAAGATTAGAGCCGAGATTAGATGGTTTTCATTCCAGCCGAACTCTGTGTTTCCGGTGCGAACTGACTTTCTTGAGATACTCGCTCCTTTAGCCTTTATTTAATTTCGTTCTACAGTCTTGATTGTCAAAAAATGTCGTATAAGTACTTCAAAAGGTATTGCAGCTCCTGTCCGATAAAACAGCTCTTTATAGTTTGCCATTGAGCAGCAGACACGCCCATAAAAGGGGCGTGGGATTGTCGGGCATGCCCTTTGTGGGGTGTGGCTCTTTATTGACACGCCCCATGGTCTTGTTTTCCTCCTGCTGAGATCCTGTTGGTTAAGGTACAGGCAGCACACCTGAATGAGAGCAGTCCTGAAACTGGTACAGAGTGGAAACCAGTTGTAAACCCCATTTGAAGTTTTAAGAGCTCAAATCAGTCTAAAGCAAAAACTGGAAGAGACAGAGTTTGCTTTTAGCTATGGCTGGAAAGTGGCACATAGCCAGCACAGTCGTCCCTCCACCACATCAGATTAGCGGTCCACGGTTCGTGTGAGCGTGTGTGTAATCCAGAGAGTTTTTGTGTGACCTCAGGTTAGCCCATACACTAGACTGACCTGCTCTGATGGTACACGAATGTGTGCTTTCTTGAATTGTGCACTTGGAGGAGAGATCTGAGGTGTGCTGTGTGGCGTGAGAGGAACAAGGAGCTGAGGTGTGTTGGTGCAGTTAGAGGAGCCCCCCCACACCCCTCTGATGCCCCCCCGCGTTTCCCCCTGCTGGGACAGGTGCTGTCAGACATGACCATACTGCAGAGGAGGATCCCGCCGAGCTTTCGAGACCCAGCCACCGCCCCGCTCCGGAAACTCTCCGTCGATCTCATCAAGACCTACAAGCACATCAATGAGGCGAGTCCCCGCCGGATCATTTCTGTCTCTCGAGAGCTCCCGAGCGAGCAGGCAGCTCTGCAGCTTGCATGTCGCGGATCTGGGCCTGGGCTGTGTGGACTCACCACATGGTGGCGCTCAACAGTACTGTAGCAGTGCAGTTTTCCAGGTGTCCGCAGTGACATCAGAGAGGTGTGCCCCATGTCCACTCCTCTGTCTCAACACAGAGGTGATGAATGGAGTGGGTTCTGGTGCTCCTCTTCTCCATATACCACTGATCACGCCATGTGGGGCTTCACTGATTCTTATTTTCTGTAGCACGAGTGCGGCTTGTCCAGTAAAAGCCCAGGCAGTGGATCGCTTGGTTCCCAAGTCTTACAGTTTACAGCAGTTTGATTTCAGTCTTGCTAAGGTAGTGTGGTGGTGTGTCAGCTGCGGCTTGACCCCTGACCCCTGACCCCTGACCTTGCCCGCGCAGGTGTACTACACTAAGAAGAAGCGGCGCGCCCAGCAGGTGCCCCCCGAGGACTCCAGCACCAAGAAGGAGCGGAAGGTCTACAACGACGGCTACGACGACGACAACTACGACTACATCGTCAAGAACGGCGAGAAGTGGCTGGACCGCTACGAGATCGACTCGCTCATCGGGAAGGGCTCCTTCGGACAGGTCAGGGACACACCGGGGCTGATGGGAGGACTCTGCACGCGATCGGGACGGAGGGCACAATTTAGAATATCCACCTCCTTCCCTTACATCACAGGGGTAGAAATGGGTGGGAGGAGGTACGGTCATGATCCCAGTCTTATACTTGGGGGTGTTAAAAATGCAACATGCTTGTTTTTAATGTCCCTCAGTGTGATAGGAGCTCTGTGCACCGCGAGGACAGGCTGTCGCACAGTCCTCCAAGGGTTTGAAAGGGCAAGCGATGACTGGGTTATCTGCGCTGTCCCTGTAGTGATCTGGCCGGTACGCAGGCGGGTACAAGATTGCGGGGCTAGGGATCTTCCCACTGGCACAGTGCAGGGCACAGGGCTGAAGCCCAGCGCTGTCCTGTTGTCCTTGCAGGGTGTACTTCAGCTGAGGCTGAGAGGAGGTCCTGCACTCACAACCCTCTTCTTCCGAGTTCTCGCGGGGGCGAGGGGCGGGCGCCGGGCTCTCTGCCAAGGTGCTCTGGTCAGCAGCGCTTCTGCCGTTTTTCAGGTGGTGAAGGCCTATGACCACCACGAACAGGAGTGGGTGGCCATCAAGATCATCAAAAACAAGAAAGCCTTCCTGAACCAGGCCCAGATCGAGCTGCGGCTGCTTGAGCTCATGAACAAACACGACACGGAGATGAAGTACTACATAGGTAAGGGCCCTGGGGACTGGGCATCACCAGACGGGCGCTGCATCAGCGATTCACGCTGCCACAGCTTAGGGTACAGCAGTCCAGCGGGCTGGTACAGAGAGGCCGACACTGGCGTAGTGCAGGGTGCAGGGGTCAAGCAAAATGGCACAGACAGCGCTGCAGTTAGGCGGACCCGTCCTGTACTGATCAATCCCACTGGAACAGCAAAGGAGAATGTGCTCAGGGAGCTACAGCTGGCCCCACCGTTTTGCTGTTTTCCATCGTGCCTGACAGGTCAACATATAAAATCACATCATCACCTGTGGCATTCAAATCTCTCAAATTACTTCTTGGTGTCAGTAGTAGCTCAGTGCTCATCCAACAGCCGTAGTCGCTTGACTGCGTCGGGGTCAGTCAGTCCTGCAGGCCGAGTCATGCCAGAAGCGCACTGCATCAAGACACCAGTGGCACAGCGGCTGTTGTGCTGGATCCCAGGGTAGTCGTGTCCCGGCCAGCAGCCCTGTGCAAGGCTAGACAGACCTGGCCGCCCTGCTCACATTCTCAAGCCGGTTTAAATTAAGTAAGCTATTTGAACTCCTGGCTAGGACGCAAATAGAAATATAATATTAGAAATATTTTTTTCCAGCATCCTACATAAGGTGGTATACACCAGCATGAAGTCAAATACATTTACTCTGACCTAGAACATTAGCAAGATAGAGGAGTATTTTGAAATGTTGAAGTTATCTGGGAGGGCTGTACCCGGGTATGATTTGTAATAAAGTTCGCACCAGGAAGACAGGCCCGCCGTCCCGGATTGTGGAAAGTGTTGATCTGAAAGCCGCCCCCGAGGGTCAGAAGGTTTGCGAATGCTCTCTCTCTCTCTCCCCTCCCTGCGCCCCGCAGTCCACCTGAAGCGGCACTTCATGTTCCGCAATCACCTCTGCCTGGTGTTCGAGCTGCTCTCCTACAACCTGTACGACCTGCTGCGCAACACCAACTTCCGTGGCGTGTCCCTCAACCTCACGCGCAAGTTCGCCCAGCAGCTGTGCACCGCGCTGCTCTTCCTGGCCACGCCCGAGCTCAGCATCATCCACTGCGACCTCAAGCCCGAGAACATCCTGCTGTGCAACCCCAAGCGCAGCGCCATCAAGATCGTGGACTTCGGCAGCTCCTGCCAGCTGGGCCAGCGGGTGAGCTGGGGGCTCGGTGCCACCTAGTGGGGGGGGGGGCTGGATTGGCCACGGAGGGTCGCATTGCTGCTCTCCCTGGTTCGAGTGGGGCCCTGGTGTCTGTGAGTATTTCCTGCGCTGGACTTGTCCCATCCGGGGTGTATCCTGCCTTGTTCCCGAAGCTTCTCGGGATGGGCTTCAGTTCTCCGTGACCCTGAATTGGATGAAGAGATGCTTTAAAGTGAAAGGGATAGTTTGTAGCATTTTATGGGCATGGAGACAGTTTTTCATGCATCTCAAAGTGCAGTATCCGGATTCTCTGTTCACTCATAGTCCACGGTCACTCGCACCATCCCAGCAGCTTGTTAAAGATAAATTGAAACCGATTCAGATCTTCAGTGGGCGGGATTAGTTCCCGGGGACATCTCCTTGTGTCTGGCTGGCTGACCTCTCCTCTCTCTCCCTTTCTTCCGTTCAGATCTATCAGTACATCCAGAGCAGGTTCTACCGCTCTCCGGAGGTGCTGCTGGGAATGCCCTATGACCTGGCCATCGACATGTGGTCTCTGGGCTGCATCCTGGTGGAGATGCACACAGGAGAGCCCCTGTTCAGCGGCTCCAACGAGGTAGAGATGGCGTCGTATCTTCTGATACAAAAACTGGGGTGGGGAGATTTGGATCCGAATATTCACCTTTCCTTTTTTTAATCCAAAATCCTGGTTCCTGCCTCCCCGCCCTCCCCTACATGGTTTATAATATAACTTGACTACTTGCACAGTGTGATGGAGGGGACCAGAAAGAGACTGCTAGACCTGTAAACCCCCCCTGCAGGCTCTGATCACGAGCTGTAGACCAGTCAGCCTTCACAGCGTGATGTGGAATCAGGCTGTCTTTGGTACACCCTTCAGCACAGGCAGTCTCTTCTGGCAAGCTGCTCCAGCCTCTGACAGCTGCATCTTTCCTCTGTTGAACGTTTGGTTGATTTTCTTCACCCCGGCACCAAGGTGATGTTTGTTCAGGACGGAGGTTACACGCGTTGGTTTCATTGGTCTCTTATCCTTGATCCTGTAGGGGTTAGGCATTGATTCGTCTACAGTAGCTGTGCACAAGCAAAACCATTGGCTCAATGCCTTCGTTGTGCCTGATCTGAGAAGTGTTATCCTGCAGTAGTGCAGTAGCCCCTCCAGAGCACTCATCACTCAGGCGGCCAGCAAGGGGAGTTTCATTCATTAGACTCCAGGCCTGACTGGCTTCCTCTGCTTGACTCCTCGTGCTGTTCTGCCTCCCTCCCCTCGCAGGTGGATCAGATGAATAAGATTGTGGAGGTGCTGGGGGTCCCTCCAAATCACATGCTCGACCAGGCCCCCAAAGCCCGGAAGTACTTCGACAAGCTTTCCGACGGCCTGTGGACCGTCAAGAAGAATAAGGACATTAAGAAGGTACTTTTCCCGTCGCCCTCCGTGAGTAATCTTCCGAAGGCCTTTTCTTCTCACCCCTCACCCCTCACCCCTCACCCTCGCCCCCATCCCATCGCCGCGCAGTGCCCCTGCCCCGTCAAGCACGCACGCACGCCCAGATGTCTGTCGCCCGGTGCCCAGCGCAGGCCCTCGAGGCCGGCGCTGACGGACCCGGCACCAGGAGCTACTTGACTCCGCCCTGCCGCGTGTGTCACTGGACAGACGTGCTGATCAGTGACCGTATCTGCTCTACTCTGTGTGTGTTGAAACTCAATTCCCAGTGGATCCAGTGTCCACTGGCTTCTGTTCCACAAGCTTAATTCTTCAATGAGCTACTTAACTGTAATACTCCTAACCGGGCTCGGAGGTGTTCTATAGATGATGAGTGGGTATCTCATGTACCCAACTGTAAAAACCCTCCAGAGAAATCCTGTATATGTGAGAGTTGGGAAATAATTGGGCGAATTGGTTAATTGACCACACACGCTGGGTCACAGCGCAGACATGCTGGGGCATCGCTGCGGAGACGGTGTGTTTTACAAGGAGAGCCCGACTCGACTCTCTCGCCTGTGCGCGGGCGCTCTGTCACTGTGGCACCTCTGTCCTGCTAGCTGTTGCTGTGTACGCCTCCGTGCCCTGGCAGTGTGTTCCTGTCAGTGTGGTCAGCGAGTCCCAGGAGAGCCGTGAGGCTGCGGCTTCCAGAAGTGTGCCCAGCGCCTGGTTCTGCCTTCGCACGCTCCCTGTCTGTCCACTGCCTCCACTCAGAAAGCTTTAGTGTTCTGGGGATCCCCTTCACCACCACCAGTGTGTTCCCCCGCCTGGATGATGCGCCAGTCCGCTCCCCTCACACCAGCTCTCAGAGTGATGAGGCCAGTTCGGAGATGGGGATTATTAGGAGGCTATAATTGGTAAAGGCCAGGGGGGGAAATTGGCCAGGACACCAGGGTAACAGCCCTACTCTTTTCAAGAGACGCCCTGAGATTTTTAATGACCATAGAGAGTCAGGACCTCGGTTTGACGTCTCATCCGAAGGACGGCGCCTGTTTACAGTCTAGTGTCCCCGTCACTATCCTGGGGCATTAGGACCCACATGGACCGCAGGGTGAGCGCCCCCTGCTGGTCCCACTAATACCCCTTCCAGCAGCAGCCTTAGTTTCCCAGGAGTCTCCCCTCCAGGTACTGGCCAGACTCGCGCCTGCGCTGCGCTGCAGGGTGATCCAGCTGCCAGCCTGGCGGTGGAGAGTTATGCCGCTCGGCAGCTGGGCGGGCTGTGCCAGCGAGCTCTGGTGGCTGGGGAGGGTGGCGGGAGGAAGCGTGGCCTGCGATTCCTGCAGCGGGACGGGGGGGGCGGGGGGAGTGGGCGATGGAACAGCAAGGGTCATGCCCAGTATGAGCCGGGCGCTCCAGCTCCAGCGGCCTAATTCCGCTTTGTGGAAAGTAGATCAGGGAGGGGAAAGCTCGGTCAGGCGGCTCTTGCGGCCGGCCTCTGAACCCCCGCGCGGCGAGCCCAGGGAGGGCCTTCCTGTCCCCCCCTGGTGTTCAAGAGCAGCGCGCTGTCGCGGAGCAGCCCCTGTCCTGGTGGCAGGTTTTCTAGGGATCAGTGGCTTTAGATCTTTACAGCAGGCTTGGATTGGTTCACTTCAGAAATTAGTATAGTTCAGCGTTTAGAAGTCTTGAATTTTCCTGGCTCTGGAAGGAGAGAAAATACTTGGGACCTTTTATATTCTTAAAAAATGAAGGCCATTTTGATATTGAAGATTTAGACTGAAACTGCAGAACCCCAGAGTTAAAGGAGTGATTTCAGTCAGTCATGTAGAACAGGGACAGAGAAGGGGGCCGGACAGTAAGAGTTTAGGGAGGTTTGGTTTTGTGTTGTCCAGTAGTGTGAAGCCAACATCACCTCCATACCTCATTGTGGTCTGTCTCCCATGTGCTGTGCTGTGCTGTGCTGTGCTGTGCATCGTGGATGGCTTGATGTAAAATAAGTGGAATCTTTTTACTTACTAGAGCTCCGCTTTTCCTAAATCGTTTTTCCTGATTGTAGGGAGCCCTGGAGTATTTAATGTTGGCTGCCCTTAATGCAGAATGCAACTGCGATTGGAAAAACGCAGAGCGCTTCCGTGCCCTTTAGGGCCGTGCATGGCCTGATGCAGACGGTCGTGCTCACCTGATGTTTAAAACATGGGCGCTGGAGAAAATGCTTAATCGAAATGGGACACTGTCTGTATTAATTTGAGGAGGGGTGGGAATTTCTTGGATACTGCGGAGCCTAGCAGGTTTAGGTGGTGGTGGGGATTGTGGGCGCTGTCTGTGGGTCTGCCACTGAGCCTCTTGGCCTCCCCCTCCCCCCCCCGTGTGCCCTGCAGGAGTACAAGCCCCCCGCCACGCGGCGGCTGCACGAGATCCTGGGGGTGGAGACGGGGGGCCCCGGGGGCCGGCGTGCGGGCGAGCAGGGCCACGCCCCCTGCGACTACCTGAAGTTCAAGGACCTGATCCTGCGCATGCTGGACTACGACCCCAAGACCCGCATCACGCCCTTCTACGCCCTGCAGCACAACTTCTTCAAGAAGACCACGGACGAGGGCACCAACACGAGCAGCAGCACCTCCACCAGCCCGGCCATGGACCACAGCCACTCCACCAGCACCACCAGCTCCGTCTCCAGCTCAGGTGGGAGTGCGCCCCCTAGGGGCTCCCCGCTGCTCTGATGACCCTCCGACACCTGACTAAAGACAACTGTTAGGCTGTCATGGTTGTCAGCTCCTAAGAAGCTGCAACTCATTTTAAAAACTGGACTAGAAACCTCTGGCTACCCGCTGCTGGGGTTTTCCTCCCAGAACTGGGGAGCCCGGTCCGGGGGGGAATGGTATGGGCTGGTTACTGGTGGGTTCCTGTTTCAAGCCAGAGCAGCACTGCATCAGCAGTTAACACCACATTCAGCTCCCAGCTGTCCATTCACATGCACTGGGGCATGGAGGTCAGTATCCTCACACTAGCCATCCCCAGCCCCTGGAGAGAAAGACTGGCTTTGTGCAACCCAGCTGTTCACATGCATGCCTGTGGTGTTGAAGCAGATTCACTCTCACAGAGTCCACTCAGTAGACTGTTGTGCTGGCTCCAGACGAGCAAGGCTGGGTTGCGTGACCTGCAGACGGCCAACGGGTTGTGCACAGGAGAAGAAGGCTGTGCAGATGGAGAAACGGATCCCGTGTTTGTGTAGTAACACACCTTGGGAACATCCACACTGGGCAGTTGCCCCAGGAGTGAACCTCTGTTCAGACGTGTTCATATTCAGTGTGTCAGGAGATGCCTGGCCTGTTTCTGAAGAAGCTGGCTGAGAAGGAAATGAAATCTGTTTTTTTTTTAATGTCCTGATTTCAGATCTGTTGAAATGGGAGATTAGGGGAAAATCCCTTTTGGTGTTAGACCACTGGATGAGGCCCATGAAGACCAATCGTTGACGCAAAGGCTTGAAAACTGCTTCAGTCTCTTCAGATTGTAGGGGAACGCAGTGGTTTTGAGTGCTGTTTTCTCACAGAGGCTCTTCTGTAGCAATGTCCTTTTGATCTTTCCCGATGGTCCTCTTGCATCGCGGGGACCTTTCTCACTCTCTTCGTTCTTTCCAGGTGGATCTAGCGGATCTTCCAACGACAACCGGAACTACCGGTACAGCAACCGATACTACAACAGCGCTGTGACTCACACGGACTACGAGATGCAGAGTCCACAGGTAGGAGCGCACCCAGTGCCCGGCAGGTCCAGAACGGGGAGTTCAGCGCATCCAGCCGGGGAGTTTTCCCCCGAAATCGAGGAAGGAAAGTTGTACTTGTAAACGTGAAAGCTGCATTGTACGGGGTCCTTGCAGAATCTGTTGGTCTGTGTGAAGATCCGTGTTTAATATGAGCTGCACTGCAGCACAGCACGCACCCCTGGACAGAGGGTGTGGTGTGATGTGTGCCGATCGAGAGCCCGACCCTGACCTCCTCCTCCTCCTCCTCCTCCTCTCTCCCCCTCAGGCTCCTCAGCAGCAGATGCGCCTGTGGCCGGGAGGCGAGGGCCCCCTGTCCAACAGCGACCCCTACCCCCAGCTGCTCCTGCACAAGCCCTCCGCCACGCAGCAGTCCCGCCACTACCTCGGCGGCGGCGGCGGCGGGATGCTGGAGCCCCACCACCCGCACCCCATCTACGGGCACCACGGCAACAGCCGGCAGCTCCGCCAGCAGCAGCAGCAGCAGCAGCAGCAGCAGATCCCGGCGGCGTCGCCCCAGCAGCAGCTCCCGGACGCCATCGAGCTCAGCCTGACGCACCACCACCACCTGGCCCCGTCTTCCATGCACCACGGGCCCCCCCTCCCGGACTCCAGCCAGTACGGCTCCTCCAACCTGCACCTGGGCCTCTCCGCCTTCCGGACTAGGACAGTCATGGCCCCCCCGAACCCCCAGGACAGCATGGTCGCCGCCTCGGGGCTCGGCTACCCCCCCTACCCCGGTAGCACTGGCGGCGGCGGCGGCGGAGGCGGCAACAACAACAACAACCCCCCCCAGGCCGGAGGGGGGGGCGGCCTGTTGACGGGACCCCCCCGGGGAGGAGCGGGGGGCACGGGCGTGGGCCGGCCCGACTCGGAGGAGATGGCGATGATGGGGGTCTGCGGGACCGGGGGACCCCCTCAGAGCACAGCGGCGAGCTCTTGATGAATCTTGAACAAACTCCAAAAGCCATACGATTTTAAACACACACACACACACACACACCGCCGCACCGCGCGGACAGACCGGAGAGCTGGACGGACGATCTTGTTGTGCATGGGGGGGCAGGGCGGGGCAGGACTGGGGGGTCCGGATCGTTTCTTTTCTTTGGGTGTTTTGGAGGGGGGGGGGAGAGGCCGGCTGGAGAAGGGGTTTTAGTTCTCTTACGATTTTTATTTTAACTTTGGTTTTGGCGCCGGGCGACTTCAGGGCGCGGCGTGTCGGGACGGCGGAGGGGCGGGAGGCGCAGGCCGGGGCGCCGCAGACCGCCGGGCTGTTTGGTTTTGTTTCTGAAGTCTAGGTGTTTAATTGTAAATTATTAATTTATTAATAATCACTACATGAGGGCATGACCTGAGTGTACGAAAAGGAGGAGAAATTGCAGTGGGTTTTTGTTTTTTTTTTATTATTCTTATTTTTCGGAGGGGCACCTACAACAAAGGAAGCCAGGATTTTCTTCCCCCCCTTGTTGTTTTAGCGTTTTATTTTCTTTCTCCGGACTTCTCGCTGCCCGCTGGCTTGTTTCCAGCAGAACGGCTGTCCAGGGGAGGCCGCTGCGCAGGGGGTAGAAACTCTGGCCCGGAGAAACGCCCAGCTGCTCCCTTCAGACAGGACAGGGCCGCCCGCCCCACGCCAGCGCCGGGACGAAGACGGACGCGGATCGGACAAACTCGGGATGCATCAAGCCAAATCTCGCTCACTCTTCCTCTCCCCCTCTCCCCGTCTGTGCTCGGTTGGGGTGGCTTCCGAAGTTCGCTGACCCCCTCTCCATCACCCCCTTTCTCCAGGCAACGCGCCCCCCAGAATCGCTCCCTCTCTTTCGTCGCCCCCCAGCGCTTGGCGAGCGTTGCCACTTCCCATCCGGGAAAAGAAAAATATCGGGGGGGGAGGGGGGGAACGACGACAAAACCACCCCCACACCCTCTTCGTTTCTTTCTAGGCTGCTAACTCCACTCTCAACCGTGTCCGGATTGCTGCTAAACAAAACAGACAAATAAATAAAAGAGATAAACTTTTTAACCCTCCTGCTTCAGAAGAAAAAAAAACCACTGCATCTCATGTATTTATTACTATTTAACAAAAAAAAATGGAAAAAAGCCTGTTGTGCCTGTTGTTTTTTTTAAAGGGAGGGGGTGGGGAGTGATGGTACAGGAGTGCAGGTCTTCGTTTCCTCTTCTCTGGCTCATCCTGGCGCTGAGCGGTGCGGTCCGGTCCGTGCCGGGTGTCAGACGGGGCGCGGGGGGCTGCTGTATGTGAGCAGGAACCCCCAGTGCGCTTGCCGTGGGCCCGCAGGCCCCACTGACACTGCTCCCTACAAGAGGCAGCTTGGGTGGTTGGGCTTCTTTCAATTAAGATTGCACTAACGAGTTTGGGTGAAACGGAAACCGCCGGTCCAGACCCAGAGGGCGGAGGAAGGGGTCGGTGATCGATGCTCTTCGTTTCTCGTCTTTAGCAGCAGGATGTTCATGTCAGCCGTGTGTTGATGCTCTGTCTGTGGCAGAAACGGGTTTTATTGCTGGAAGGGTGAAATGGGGTTTTGTTGAAGCCGGGTTCACAGTTCACTGTGCTCAGGGTACTGGGACGCCGCCAGTGATGCTCCTCGGGATCCTCCACTCCTCCGGATGTGCCTGTGAGCCGAGGGACAACTGGAGACCACTCGGTTTCCAGCTGCCCAAGTCTGCATTGTCTCAACGAAAGTCAGTGTTGCAGAGTGATCCTGCACACAGCTGTTTATATATTTTTTTGACATTTCATCATTTGTAAATGGGGTATTTATATATTTATATATATATAAATGGGGCTTATATTTACACCAGTACAGTGATGGGGGGGAAGAAGGCGTTTCCCCAGTTTTTCCCCTTCAGTGTGCCTGTGGGTGTTGACTAACTCGTCTCATCTAACTTAGTTCACAATTGGCTGAACGGGACCAGTCTGGACTGGAGCAGTATTACCTATCCCAGTCTACACTTTCATCTTAATTTTGTCTCCTGTGCAGTCCCAACCTCGTGTGTTGCTGTGCACAGCTAGTTTATCACCCCATCTGCGTGTTTTCTGTGGTGGCAGAAGGACAGAACGTTGTAGTTGCATTTTTGTGTCCCTTGAGCAAAATGGGTCACAACTTAAAATGGATCCTAACTAACCTGTCCCTGAATTTGTAAACCCTCACCAGTGTTGTTAATGCACATTCTCAGCTCTTTGTTTTGGTTGTGTAGCCTTTGATGCTTGTCTTTGATCCTCCCCTAGAGTTGCTCAGTGGTGTGCCTTCACTCAGACCTTAGGAGGCAGGATTCTGGGAGGACTGATGTTTCTAACCAGATCCTTGTGTCGCTTAGCCTGTGATTTCTCTCTGGGGGTGCAGCCCTAGCTGACCTGACCGACCCTGCCTCGCTGGTGACCCCCTCTGCCTCCCTTCAGGTGCCCATCTGTGCCACAGGGTTGGCTGGAGCCCCTTGACGTCACTGTGGCCCCAGGTCCACAGCCCCTGGCTCACACGCAGCACCGTGCCCCCGCTTCACTGCTTTTGGGTGTCTCCAAAAACCCCAAATCTCAAGCTTCTGAGAGATAAAATACCTGGAGTACAAGTAGATGTTGGATAAGCCAGGTCAGCGTGTTGGGGACCCGTGGATCGGGGACTGCAGAAGGCCGATGGTGTGGCTGACAACCCTAACTCCTGGCCTCCTTCAGCGCAGGGCGTCCCAGCCCACTGAACGGGCTTCTCAACCCCCGAACGACAGTCTGGTTCAATCTGAAGGCGTTTGTTTCAGCGCGGGGGTTCTGGGCTGTCGTAAGTAACTTCAAGTCTACCAACTCTACCAGAACATGTTCGCTCCAATGTTCCGTTTTCTAACCACTGCTTCCGGTTCAGGGTCACGTGGGAGTCCAGGGAAGCCATGGGCCCAGGGTGGGGTACACCCTGGACGGGGTGCCAGTTGATCCAGGGCACACGCACACGCACACACGCACTCACACTCTCAGCGGACGCCTATGAACCTACCAGTGCATCCCTGGACTATGGAAGGAAACTGGAGCGCCTGGCTGACAACATGCAAACTCCACACAGACAGTACCCCAGGTCCAGAACTCAACCCAGGATCCCAGGGCTGCTACCCTCAGCATCGACATACTGGCCCCTAAAATTGGACTGCTGCTGTCCAATAAGAGCACTGAGCTCACCCGAAGGTCATCCCTCAGGGGCTGTCTTCACGAATGAGTGAAGGGCGAGGGGGCGGGTGCCTGGAGAACTGGAGAGGGTTTTTGTAGAACATCTCCTGTGTCCTCTCACGGCTGCTGGGCACTCTCGGGACAGGCTAGGGGCTAAAACCGGCTCTTCCCCTGTGGAGGGTTCGGCCAGATTAGAGAATCGCGCAGGTATTCTAGCAAAGTATTCTAGAAAGAAACTTCAGTGGGAGCTTAACTGCTCACCAGATGTGCACAAATAACCTGTTACCCAGCACAACTGGAGGAAATCCTGTAAGCACGCAGTTACCCATAAAAGCTGAGGCTGAGTTTCCTGTGCAGTTAGGAACAAGCGCAGGAAGTACTGCTGTCTCGTCCCGAATGTGGACAGTGATCCCCAGCCCACTCATTTGGGGACTGTGAGGCTCCTCGGTGACTAAAAATGACCATGTGCATTAGTACTACTGTAGCCCTGCTCCTGGAGCTCACCATCTCCCACTTCCTGCTCCTGCAGAGCTCTTCATCCCAGGCTCGGCGATTTCACAGCTCTGTCCTGGGCCTCGGATGAAATATGTCATATCGATCAATGCCCCTAACCAGCTTCTGAATTTCAGAACTGCCCTCGTCCAAGAAGCACGACTCCTTGCCCCAGAGCCCGGCGCTCGCTGTGGGTGCGTCTGATGCACTCACTCCCCCCCAGCGTCAGTTCATCACGAACGGATCAGCTCGGGGAGAACTGTGGGCCAGGGAGCCGTGGAGAAGCTGTGTGCCCAAAGGGGAAAACTGTAACCTTGATGTCGGGGGTCTCCGATACCCAAGAGTTACGAACACGTCTAAACAAGCAGACATGTTAGTTATCCATTTGTACTGGAGATTTAATGCTCGTTTGGAACAAAAACTAAAACATCCACCCATTTTCTGACCCCTTCCTCCAATCCGGGACCGCAGGGGTGCTGGAGCCTGTCCGGGCAAGCAGTGGGCACATGCTTGGGTACAGCTGGACAGGACGCCAACCCATCACAGGGCGGCTACAGACACGCTCGTGCCTGGGCCACCCTTCCCAGGACGTGAACGTGCAGACTCCACACAGACAGCACCCCGGGCGTTGAACCCAGGCCCCCAGCGATGTGAGGCAGAAATGCTGACCCCCTGCACCGCTGTGCCACCCGAGCCCAAAACACTGCCTGGTCATCAGGCCTGGTGCTGGTGGCAAGGTCAGCTCATGCCCGTTGGCCTCCACGGGCTCCGCCCAGCAGCTGTGAGCCCCAGCTGTAACAGCGAGGAAAGGGCATGTCGAAAAAAATCGCTGAACCCGAGAAAAACAGACGCGACCGAAGCCTCAAACATTTTATCGACCAGACATAGTGGTTTGTCTGTATTTTTACAGCCGGCCTTCCTCTCGCGTGTATCAGAAGTGGGTACACACTGGTGGTGGTGGAGGTGAGCCCCATTACCTGTAAAGCGCTTTGAGTGGAGTGTCCAGAAAAGCACTATATAAGTGTAAGCGATTATTATTATTATTATTATTATTATCATCTCCCTGAATATGCAGGCGCCGGAGCGGAGTCTGTCGAAACCCGCGTCGGGTTAAGCGCCTTTCAAATGACGCTTTTCCCGTCAACTCCCAACAGTTTTCCTGAGGTCAGGCCACCCTTTCCACGGTCAACGCGATTTAAAAATTATTTTTGAGAGTATTTTTTTTTTTTTTACGGTGAGAAAAAAACGGTGATCTCCGCAATCAACTTCTTCCCCCGTCTGCTGAGGTTTCGCCTCTCGCAGGATCGAGCGCAGAGCCGGCGCCAGCTCCAGCCGGATGATGCACAGTAAACACACACGCCGCAGCGCGTCACTGAAGACACAGATACATAGTGTTGGAATACACGGCCGCTTTCGGAAGGAAATTGATAACGACGTTTATTTAACTGTTTCCTTTTTCAAACATTCATAGAAGCCACGGCAGGTGATTCACGCTCCAGCCGACGAGAGACCCTCCTCGGCGAAAGCGCTCCGGGCTGCAGAGCGACCCCTAGTGGTTGTGCGCCGCCTTCTTCGGCGGAAGAGGAGAGGAGACCCCGGCCCCTGCTCCGGACCGGACAGGGAGAGCGGGCACTTCAATCCGCTTGGGTGGAGCAGAAAACAGAACGCTAATAAAAAAAAAATCCCACGAAAGTCGAGGCGACGGGGAAACGTTTTTTTTGGACGCGTCGGGCAGTGCGATCTGGCGGGCGGGGCGCTAGAAAGCTTTCTTTTTCGCGACAATAAAATCAGAGGGAGTCTGCCACAGGTGGGGGGAGGGCGGTAGATGAATGACGAGACGAAGGGTGAGCTCGATTAGCGGGATTAGATTCTCCTTGGGGAGAAATTAGAGCCGCTCAAGACTCCGGCTTCTCGGTGCCCGAACCTTCTGACCTGGGGTTCAGGGGTGCAACTGAGTGCTCGGGACCGGCTAGTGTCGGGGTTCCCGGGCTCTGGGATGTGGGAGCCCTTCACCGTAACAAGCCACGTGGCTAATGAAGGCTGCGACATCCCAACTTTTCCAGGACGCTGGGAATTCGCAGGTTCCTCCCGGTAAACTGAAGGGAGAAAACCCGCACGTCCGGCAGGATTCTCCCGCTGGGACATCTCCTTCAATTCCCCTCTCCGCAATGGCGTGCTTGCAAACTGCATTACTGTGAACAAAAACCGAGCCGCACTGCAGGATGACACCTTGAACGCAAACTGTTATTGAAATTCATCAGCTTAAAGAAGCCAGAAGCCATTGGTTTTACAGTTAAGTCTTAGTTTAGCAAACAGGATGCCGCTCTTGGTTTTGAAGTCTCTCCCCCGAGAGAAAACTAATCGCAATGAGAGAAACAGATCGCAATGTGTGCGACTCTGCAGGACGTAGTGAGGAAGAGCTTAAGAGTCCTAAAAACCTACCCGA